CATTCATTCAAAAGTCGACGTCGTGAACGATGGCTAGATAGATATGAGAAACACAAACTGATGAAAGGAAAGCAAATTATATAACATGAGTGTTGGTAGCGGCGTTGTGGAAACCGCTGGACGCCGGAATCGAAAAATCTCCGGAGCCTTTTATTGTTCGACGGCAAGTATAAAGCGAGAGAGAACTAGGATTTTTTCATTAACCTCATTTAGCTCCTCTTTAAAAATTATCTTTTAATTTCCTTTATATTATTTTTTCTAAACTGGAAAAAAGAGATGGAAAAGCATGTGACATCAAAAGAAAAAAACATGTGATGGTTTTTTACAAGTTGGAAAGTGTTTGCTCCTTTAGTTTCACAGTTCAATGCGCCGCGAAATTTCTTGCTTAAGATATTTTAGTTTTATTAGATTCTCTTGCACTTCTAGCCACAATTTGATCCTTTCACTTTAGACTTTTTTTTTTTTTCTAAAAATGTGAATATCATTATAAAATGAAGTGAGATTTTACAAGAAGCATAATCTAAATCTGTACAACCTTGGCAAAAAAGAATAAAAAACAAGGTTGCACTCAATAGAGACCAAGTGTTTATCTTAGCCAAAGAGACATCATATCACAAAAGTGTTTTCTGTGAAGTCTTAAAGATATCGTATTACGGATTTCTCGATCTAGAGATTTAAAGATAGTCCGTGGCGGGATTGATGTGTTGTTGTGAAGCACATTGTTTCTCTGCTTCCATATATGGAATATTGTGGCTTGGGCTATCAGTTTCCTAAGGAGAGAAGGAGCCCTTGTAGATGTCATCTTTATCCAAGAAAGTAACTCAGACCAGTTCATGAACTTGCGTCATTGAGGATCAAGCTTTGACAGAGCTAGCCTCCAAACCTATGTACTGTACTCACACTTAAGAAAAAGGTGGTCCCTGGTTTCATCCAGTCTAGAGCAAAGGCAACACAAAGTTGTAATCAACATCCCCTAAGAGGCAAGTCGAGTTCTTGTTGGTAGTCCATTCAAGTTGCAGTTCACATGGTGAAAGAGTGCTTTGGAACAGATCCCTTGTACCAACCCAATTCAGCCCAAGTCTTAACCTCACTCCTTGTTCTTAGAGTCTCCCAAGTTTTGGAAGTAGAGAAGCTTTTCTTGCTGACCCCATCTACGAACCACTCGTAGTGATTGTAATGTCCGTGAACCAAAATATGTATTTTTGGTGGTGCGTCGATCGACACACGTGTTTGGACTCGCGAGGAGTCGGGTTCTAGGTGTT